AAATTATAATATCGACTGTGAAAATTTGAAGCAAACAGTGGTAGATTGTTTAGATAAACATTTTTGCTTAAGTAATTTATAACAAAATTTTGACTGTTAAAGAGTTATCGAAAAAAGACTTTTGGCCCCTTTTGGCCCTTAATGTGATGACTCAGCACTTTTTTCTTGATATAATTTTAAAGATCTTGTCATTTTCCACAAATTTTGTTCAATATGTTTTAACAAAATAATTATACTTTAAAAGATATGATGCAAAATGTCTTTAAAAATCAGTCAGGATTCGTGTCCTAAATTTTGACCCCTACCGAGCTTCCATACTAGATACTTCCGGAAAATATCCTGACCCAGGTGCACCATGGCAACATGTCCTCTATTATCACTGAAAATTTCAGCGCTCTAGCTTAAGCCATTATTGAGTTCTATCACAGACACAGAGGTCGTTTGAATTTAAAGAAAAGGGCGATAACTCTTGACCGGAAGTGATTTTCAAAAAATCCTTCAGCCGGAATTAACTTCCGATAATTCTACACCAACCCTGAAAATTTGAAACAAATCGATCCAAAGATCTCTGAGGAATCGTCGGCACAAAATTTGTGCAGAAAAAAAGAATAATAATAATAAGAAAATTGAAAAAGAAACATAAGAATAATAGAAGGGTCTTCCGCTGAAGACGGAAGACCCTAACTAGATACGATCTCGTTGCGAGCAACGAGTGGGTCTTCCGTCCAATTCTTGAAGAGATGAGATGAGATTTTGATTGAGATTTTCATTCTAAATTAATGATAAAGATTGTGAAGAAGAACTGTTTGCCTCCATAATCTGTAAAAAGACATTGAACATTAAGGACTTAAAAATTCGACTTTTGGCCCCTCGCAGCCCCTAATATTAGGGATCAGCCTTTTTTCTGCATATCATCTTAAAGCTCTCAGGATTTTCATCAATTTTTGTTCAACAACTTTTCAGAGATTCTTTTTCGTAATCGAGTTATTTGCAAAAGAAATATTTAAGGGCCAACCCTTCAACTCCCTAATGGTGACGTTTAGCGAAAAATGAAAGATTGCATATTGTTTAGAACATTCTTTTGAACATCTTTTGTTCAATAATACTTATCAAAATATTTCTCTCTTTCGAGATATAAAGCGTCAAAGACTTAGCATTCTGGCCCCTTGTGGCCCCTAATTATGAACCATACGACATAAAAATCATAATATATAGTTGTAAATGGTGGAGATACACATCTTTACTTCCGTAATGTATAACAAAATATTAACTGATAAAGAGTTATCGATTAAAGACTTTTGGTCCCTTTTTGCCCCTAATTTGAGTTCACAGCCCCTTTTTCTTGATTTCACCTTAAACCTCTTATGATTTTGAACACTTTTTGTTCAACAACTATTCAGAGATTCTTTTTCGTTTTCGAGTTATTTGCAAAAGAAATATTTAGGGGCCAACCCTTCAACTCCCTAATGGGGACGTTTAGAGAAAAATGAAAGGTTGCATATTGTTCAAAACATTATTTTGAACAACTTTTGTTCAATATTGCTTATCAAAATATTTCTCTCTTTCGAGATATAAAGCGTCAAAGATCTTGCATTCTGGCCCCTTGTGGCCCCTAATTATGAACCATACGACATAAAAATCATTATATATAGTTGTAGATCGTCGAGATAAACATCTTTGCTTCAGTGATGTATTACAAAATATTAACAAATAAAGAGTTACCGATTGAAGACTTTTGGCCCCTCTTGGCCCCTAATTTGAGTGCCCAGCCCCTTTTTCTTGATTTCACCTTAAACCTCTTATAATTTTGAACACTTTTTGTTCAACAACTATTCACAGATTCTGTTTCGTTTTATAGTTATTTGCAAAAGAAATATTTAGGGGCCAACCCTTCAACTCCTTAAAGGGGACGATAAGCGAAAAATGAAAGGTTGCATATTGTTCAGAATATTATTTTAAACATCTTTTGTTCAATATTGCTTATCAAAATATTTCTCACTTTCGAGATATAAAACGTCAAAGACTTAGCATTCTGGCCCCTTATGGCCCCTAATTATGTACAATACGACATAAAAATCATAATATATAGTTGTAGATCGTCGAGATAAACATCTTTGCTTCAGTAATGTATTACAAAATATTAACTAATAAAGAGTTACCGATTGAAGACTTTTGGCCCCTCTCGGCCCCTAATTTGAGTGCCCAGCCCCTTTTTCTTATTTCACCTTAAACCTCTTATGATTTTGAAAAATTTTTGTTCAACAACTATTCAGAGATTCTGTTTCGTTTTATAGTTATTTGCAAAAGAAATATTTAGGGGCCAACCCTTCAACTCCTTAATGGGGACGATAAGCGAAGAATGAAAGGTTGCATATTGTTCAGAATATCATTTTGAACATCTTTTGTTCAATATTGCTTATCAAAATATTTCTCACCTTCGAGATATAAAGAGTAAAACATTTTGCATTCTGGCCCCTTGTGGCCCCTAATTATGAACCATACAACAACAAAATTATAATATGTAGTTGTAGATTGTTGAGGTAAACATTTTTGCTTCAGTAATGTATTACAAAATATTGACTGTTAAAGAGTTATCGAAAAAAGACTTTTGGCCCCTCTTGGCCCCTAATGTGATGAGTCAGCACTTTTTTCTTGATATCATATTAAAGATCTCGTCATTCTGCACGAATATCGCTCAGTATGTTTTAACAAAATATTTATACTTTAAAAGATATGATATAAAATATCTCGAAAATTCACTCATAATTCGTGTCCTAGATTTCGACCCCTACCGAGCTTCCATACTGGGCACTTCCGGAAAATATCCTGACCCAGGTGCACAATGGCAACATGTCCTCTATCTATGGTAAAAATTTCAGCGCTCTAGCTTAAACCGTTTTTGAGTCCTGCTCCAGACAAGAAAGCCCTCTAAATTTCGATTAAAGGGCGATAACTTCCGACCGGAAGTGAATTTCAAAAAAATGAGAAAAACGAATCAGGTTTAGGTGAAGACACATCTTTCCTGAAAATTTCAAGTAAATCGATCGAGTCATCTCCGAGAAATCTTCTGCACAAAAATTGTAAGAAAAAAAGGGAAGAATAATAAAAGTGAAAAAGAAACAATAGAATAATAGAAGGGTCTTCCGCTGAAGACGGAAGACCCTAATAAGAAAAAAAGTGAAAAAGAAACAATACAATAATAGAAAGGGTCTTCCGTTTGAGACGGAAGACCCTAATAATAACTAGAAAGTCTGCTATTGCAAGCAATAGCATATGTCGCCCCGTATTAGACAAGACTTTCATTTTTATCATCACTAAAACAAAAGTCCATAAGCTAAGTTTGAACAACCATTGAGTTATATCAATCCTTTCCATTGGAAACGGAAGACCTTAATTCGGTAAATCCCACTGATTATTTTTAGAATCGGTAGGAGAAGAAAGTATTGCAGGAAAATTACAAGTTCCTCAATTTGCAGACTTGCATAAAAGAAATCTGGCAGATGTACTGAACTGAGCCTCATACTTGTTAATTGTCAGTATCTTTCCTTGGGAAATGTAATTTATGAAGAAGATCATCCGATTTATTTTGTGTATTGTAACGTCAGTGAGAACTCTGAAATTTCCCTCTTTCACTTTCATTTTAGAGGTTCTACCGAAAAACGAATCTGACATGCCACCATCAATTCGAGCATTTCTGCATTGCAGAGAGCTGATGTGTGTTATGAGATAATAAATCATGTGTGAACTTTCTCAGTTTAGCGGAATCATGAACATTTTCGGCGAGATGAATGTTTTGTATACAGTGGTGATCAAGGCTTAGCGAACCATCAGGAGCGGATCAAAGAATTTATGAATGAATAAAAACTATGGAAATGACGTACCAATTTTTTAATTTATACTTGCACTATCTAATGAAATGAATAATATACAAGTGATAGATATACAAGAAAACGCGAAATGATAATAAATGCAGCTGACAATCGTTATTTTTTTTTTAATAGATAAAATAAAATATTTATAAATTCAAGAGACAAAACAGAAGGAGAATGAATGATGGCAAAATATCACATGACGGGAACTGAATTTTATGAATGAAGATTTTAAAAAGTTACTTGTAAGTTGTATATGTTATATCTGTGTATTCTACTTGGCTGTGTGCTTCAAAAAAAAAAAAGGGGGGGGGGGGGGGGGGGGGGGTCGTCTTGAACATAGTAAATAGCCATAACGTTTGAACGGTAAGTACTAGGGCTTTCGTATTTCAAATATGTAATCCTTGTGAAAAGAACTTTTATTGGATACGACGAACTTTGACCCTTTGACCTAGACCTTGGAGAACACATGTGTACATCTGAATCTTTTTTTCTGTTTCGTTTCTATGGCAACCGTGAGCGACTCATTACAATTATTTTGAAAGTAGAAATCACTTTGACACATTGCAAGGAATAAACATTGAAAGTTTCAAAACGATTGCCTGAGTAGTTATTGAGAAAATCGAAATTAAAGAATTTTAACTTTCACCTGGTTTCCATGGCAATAATCGATTATATGAAAATTTTAAATACGAGTTGCAGAACTACAGATACTAATCATTAAAATAAGAAAAGTTTCATGACGAACGTTTAAGGGACCAGAGAGAACACCCTCGGACAAAATTTGTCGCTTTTTACAGGTTTCCATGGCAACGGTAGACATATTGGACTTGAACGACCTCACTGCACAACTACAACCAGTGATCGTCCTTTAAGGAAAGTTTCAGGAAGATTGTCCCAGCCATCTCCGAGAAACGGCCTGGATAAAAAAAACATGCGTACAATATCAATATGTCGTCCCCGACTTCGTTCGGGGCGACATAATAAGAAACAGAGTAAAAACAATATGTTCCCAAACTTCGTTTGTGGAACATAACAAATGCCCGCAAAATTAAAAAAAGTATGTCACCATGACCTACTTTTGAGTTAACATGATGTGAAGTCCTAAGATGCATCAACTTACAAGATTCGATGATCCTAGCCCTTATAGTAAGCAAAATATAAACATTTTTTTAAAAATTGTAGATTCAGGTCAACTTCAAAGTGACCTTGAGACCACGCCATATCCTGATCCTTCTATGTTAGTTTGGTAAAAATCTGCCTGGCTGTTCTGCAGAAGAAGATTTTTTAGCAACTAGTACTTTTGGTTAGGGGAAGGGTTGTTGAATGATTGATTATTGTTTAACGTCCCTCTTGAAAATTTTTCACTCATATAGAGACGTCACCGTATGCCGGTGAAGGGCTTCAAATTTAGACCTATACTCGGCACTCAGGGCCATTGAGCAGTGGGGGGTTCTTTATCGTGCCAGCGCCTACGGTGACACGGGACCTACGTTTTTAAGGTTATATCCGAAAGACCCGTGACTTTCACTTCTAGTGCAGAGCGTTTGGCGAAGGAACAGTTACTACCTTTGTTTACGTCTTAGGTTCGAACGAGATTCGAACCCGGGCCTCCCGATCACGAAGCGAACGCTCTACCACTAGGCTACCCTGACCGGTGGGGGGGGGGTGTAATAAAAATTGTGTCATTTAAATATTATGTTCAGACATTTTAAAATTCATGTTGAAGAAGTAACTTGGATATTCAGGTGGTAAAAGGAACCTTGGAGACTCCAGTTGTTGAAGAAATCTTGTTCACTCCAGTGGTAGATGGAACCTTGGACACTCCAGTGGTAGAAGGAACCTTGGACACTCAAGTGGAAGAAGGAACCTTGGACACTCCAGTGGTAGAAGGAACCTTGGACACTCAAGTGGAAGAAGGAACCTTGGACACTCAGGTGAAAGAAGAAACCTCGGACACTCCAGTGGTAGAAGGAACCTTGGACACTCAAGTGGAAGAAGGAACCTTGGACACTCCAGTGGTAGAAGGAACCTTGGACACTCAAGTGGAAGAAGGAACCTTGGACACTCAGGTGAAAGAAGAAACCTCGGACACTCCAGTGGTAGAAGGAACCTTGGACACTCAAGTGGAAGAAGGAACCTTGGACACTCCAGTGGTAGAAGGAACCTTGGACACTCAAGTGGAAGAAGGAACCTTGGACACTCAGGTGAAAGAAGAAACCTCGGACACTCCAGTGGTAGAAGGAACCTTGGACACTCAAGTGGAAGAAGGAACCTTGGACACTCAAGTGGTAGAAGGAATCCTGGACACTCCAGTGGTAGAAGGAATGGTAAAAGGAACTTCGGACACTCACTTATATCTTGTAACTCACGTTGCTGGATGTAGTTTGTAGCAGAATAAATAAATGTATATACCGAACCCTGTGTTAAGTTATTGTCAAACTCAATATGGTGGCAGTGGTGCTAATACTTTTCTAAGTTAAAAAGGACTACCCAAATACTAACATGGCATCATTTAATTTGCACCACCTGAGGATGATTCCACACGAGTTTCATCTTTCCTAATAACATTTATGGCAACAGTTTGCCTGATGTCCAGGAGTAAAGATTTCATTAGGTTGTTGGTTTTTTTGCCTTGCTCCTCAGGCCAAAAGGTGGCAGGGACTTAAAACTCAAGATTTTTGTTACCCTTCACCCATACATGCTGTATACCGAATTTGCAAGTATTTATCTAATATTTTGTTTTGCTACTGTTTTATACATGTTAAAGCCGCTTCATCCGAACCATACACATATTATCTTAAATAATAAAAGTATGTCATTACATAGATAATATATAAAAATTAATAATAAGATTGATTTAATGATTTATTACAACAATCCTTACATGGAAAAAAAGTCCAACAACCTTTTTGACAAGCAGCAGTTCCTGACGGGAATCTGTGTTGAAGTCAGCTTTGAAAAAAATACTTTTATCGCTATATCTAATTATGAAGAGTATTTTTTTCTGTTAGTAGAATCGTAAGTCATGATATATCTTTTATAACTGAATAAAATCCATAGTAATTTTTATATTAATTTGAATATTTAGAGAAAATGGAAAATCATATATATTTATTAAAAAAAAAAAGTTTCGTAACGAGGGCTAGAATATTGCCCGTGTACACTTTGTTGTTGCTGCGTGCCTGAAGATAGCCTTAAATTGATATCTTTTAAGACATCTTAAACTAACTTCATTTAATATTAATCTAATTTTTAGTTAAATATCTATATATCTGATCTTACTTTATCGTATTCATATTAAAGAGCTAAAAGTGTTCATATTGGATGAACAAATGTTAAATTTCTTTTCATTTGCTATCTGACTTCATGAGAGTTGCACTTCTTTTATAAATGGTTATGTTAACGTCCATGTAAAGAACACCGAGATGCTTGAGGAGTATTGACAGGAAGCATGTCGAGAGTTTAAAAGAATTTTCAAAATGAGACCAGAAAACCACGTCATTTTTTTCGGGATTAATTGTTTTAGATGAAAAAATCGAATTAAAAGACATGAACAACATTGGTTCAAATCAGATTGAAACTATCATAACCGGGTCAATCTCATTCTGGACTCCAGCCTTAGTCGATGTTAAATCCTAACCAGCACAGGTTAAAGTTCAACTTTTTTTATTTGTTTACCTCTTAACCTGCTTCTGTATGATCGCGCCCACGTGTGCTATCTCCGCCAAGTTATTTACGCTGAGCTGACCAGTACAAATTAATCGCATATGTTACATTTGTATATTCTTATTATGTTCCCCAAACGAAGTTGGGGAACATATTGTTTTTACTCTGTTTCTTATTATTATTATTATTTTTCTTCTTCCTGGGTACTTATTTGTCCGGGAGTGATCTTGTAAACTACACATCCGACTTAGGTAAAACCTTTTTAGGGTTAGTAGGCATGTTATGTAGATTTGCGGAACGAAGGTCATTTTGCGCGCACGTGCTTGCAAGAGCGTGCACGTGCAACATGTGAAATGACCGATTTAATTGATATAGGCGTAACTTTTTACATTTTTGATGAAATGCTTTGAAACTCATAATATAAGGATATATTAGTAGCATAGACAATATAACATGGTCAAAATCGCAAGATCTCACGCGCATGCACGTGCACTTCGCTCTAATTGGCTGAAACTAAAGTCTCTATATCTTTCTTGTTTTTTGACGAAATCCCTTGAAATTTTGAACATAGCCATACATTAGGATATCCTACAACATGATATATAGCAATTATCATGAAAACACGTGCATGCACGTGCGCTGCAATCTGATTGGCTTAAACTTTAAATAGCTATAACTCCCTTGATTTTAAACCAAACAGGATTGGATTTGGAACATAGATAGATATAATTGACCTCTACAAGAAAGTATGGTCACCATGCACATGCATGTACATGTGCTGCAATCTGATTGGATGAAACTTTAAACAGCTATAACTCCCTTGGTTTTCAATCAAACGGGGTGGGATTTAGAATATAGATAGATGTTATGGACTTCTACAAGAAGGTATGGTCACCATGCTCATGTAAGCACGTGCGTGCACGTGAAATGAGTAAAATGATACACTTGAATGAGCCTATTTTTTTAAATACTTTTGGATTAAATACTTTAATAATTAGTATATCAAAATATATAGATTCTGTAGACAATATGATATGGTCATTACGAGCATGCATTCACACGCGCACACTTGCAATGCTAAAATTGAATGAACTTGGTACACTTCTTGGTAAACGTTGTTAAAGTCTCAAATGCATAGAGTTTGTCTTATTTAATGAAGCTTACAGGGGATATGGAACCAAAAGGGAGTTGGGGAGCGTTTGGGGAACATCTGTAACGGTCCCCGTTACAATTAGCACTAGTTTTTAGTGCAATTTTTGTTATGATAAATTCCCCCTTCTGTCGAAAATCTTGTCCCCAAGATTTGTTTAAAGAGTTTATGATTTGGAATAATTTGACTTGCTGTAAAATCAACATAAAACCGAAAGTTCAACAATTCTATTTGTTTGATATTTTCGCGCCGATTTAAACTTTAATTACAAATTTATTAAAAATTACCTTTCAGATGGCTTTTACAAAGGAAGTACCTAAACATTTATAACTACATATTATATAATTTGAATTCAAACACACAGGTACATGTATATAATTAAAAATACACTTTCTAACAAAATTACAATATATAAAAACACAATTTACACGAAAAATACTATGTACAATGTTCTTGGTTGCTCTTTCCTCTGGGCAGTGGTGGCACGTTTTTTTTTTTTTTTTTTTTTTTTAGCAGAAAAACACAGTAGTGACGAAAAAAATGTTACAAAGCTCGCTTCACAAAAACAAAATTAATGCTTTGACAATTCATGGAACATAATCATTCTCATTGTATGGATTAAGACACTTTTCACAAAAATATCATTTGGTTGTTAAATGTATCCCCTGTTCACATTTGACAAAAATAATTTACACAGTGCCGCATGATAAACACTTTTATTACAAGACATTATCCCTGTAAAATACATACACATATAGTCCTATATTTGACGCATACTCGATCTTTCTGCTTTGAAAAAAAATCTTTAAAGGTTAAGTCATTATTATTTATGAAAGGAGAAATGATTCTCGAGCTATTCGGAAGAATGTAAAATATCTAGGTACATAACCTTCCACTACGATCATTTTCCCTTCAAAATATATATTTCTCTCCAAACCCCTTGTTTGGTAGACTATTATAAAGTCCCGACTTAACTTTTAACCCCAATAATGGTATAAGGGTTTCTCTTTGCTATATTTAAAGGCCCTTAAAATTCCCATTTATTGGATTTATTTCTGTGAAAATTGTTTAACGTACACAAATGCATGGTCAACGGGGTCCCCTTTTATGGTGCAAGACCCATCCCATTTAGCATTTATTTATGTGAAACTTGTTTAAGGTACACAAATGGTCAACGGGGTCCCCTTCTATGGTTCAAGACCCATCCCATTAGATTTATTCTCTTGATTTGTATCATACATTCAACCTGACGAGTACTTTTTATATTGCAAGCATTTTTTTTAATATTTTTTCATAAGCGTCAACAATTGTTATATCAGGTAAATTATAAAACATTGCCCATGTAAAAAATAATTTCAACAACATGAGAATATTCTAAAAACCATCGTCGTAAAAAAAAATCTTGCATAACAAAGGTAGACATTTTTAAAATTATTTATATACTGTCCTACCTGTACTGTCATTTTTTTTTTCAAAGTCTTATTCATAGGACACAAATAAACTGTCCAACAACTGGATAATGCTCTTAGAATCGGAAGCAAGGGCTTCGGCACGGAACCACTGTAATTATCCAAATATCTAAAATTGTTCGTGTTTCTGTTCACCAAAGTACGGATTGGTAGTATAGTTACCATGTCCTGTTCGCACAATTAGGATTTCTTTAGTTCGTTTATAGTTCGTTTCGTCTGTTTTATTAAACGCACGGTCGGCAAAAGTTTGTCAAAACGTGTTAGTCCTATAATTGGTCCTACCCAGAGAGTGTTAATATTTTTAAGTTCTCTTGGCCTCGTAGATCGTTTGACGGCTCTGGTCCAAGTCTCGCCTACTCGAGTCCTCTGTCCGAAAATCCAGCGGGATCGTGCACTAATCCTCGTCTGGTGGGTTGACTTAGAGAACTTTCAAAGGCTTTCCCTCTTTCTGAATCTGACCCCATTTCTCCACCATATTGTATAAAATAAAAAATTAAATAATTGAATTTTTCGATTTTCATTATTATAAGGTGAGAGGTACCGATATTCTGAACTCTCGCTTGGCCTGTGGAGGTACCGGAATGATATCATCTCAGTTTGTTTCTTTTATTATATTTATTTTTAATTCCTTGCCATTTTCTTTCTGGACCTGAGCCGCCGCCATGGTTGGGGAGTGGAGATGTTACCCAACCTGTATGAAATACAACCAAGGCAGTCAAGATTCAGCTTTCCACTCTTTATTTAATAAAACAATCTATTTGTAATCTTTATGATTACAATAAATAATTCCACACAAAAAACTAAACAATTTACTAAACATTATTAGTCTTAATATATAAAAAAATGTTATCTGTAAATAAATTAAGCCATGTGAAAATTCATATGATTTGACAAAAACCGCGCAAGTTTAGAAAATTATCTCACATGTATAAAAAAAACAACCAAGGCAGTCAAGATTCAGCTTTCATCTGAAATCCTGTCTATCCCGGGCGTTCATTACATACAAGGTTAACGTTTGTGGATTTCCATCTCCATATTTGTAACTCGATCGAAATTTGCAATAATTACTTTATATTTTGATTTGAATTTTAATTACTATTATTCTGAACTTGAATACTTTTTAAACTTTTAATGCACTTTAAAAATAATTGCCGATCTTTTGCATAATCTTTAAATATTGTTTTCTGTAATTAATTTATCCAAATATTTGACCTCTGGTCACTTCAATGTTATTGGTCGCTCCTTCCTCCTAACCAGATGCCTTTCCTAATAAACGATTCATTTCTTGGAACTGGCCAGGTTAAAGTTCAACTTTTTTTATTTGTTTACCTCTTAACCTGCTTCTGTATGATCGCGCCCACGTGTGCTATCTCCGCCAAGTTATTTACGCTGAGCTGACCAGTACAAATTAATCGCATATGTTACATTTGTATATTCTTATTTTTAGTGCAATTTTTGTTATGATAAAACCATTCAAAAATTGCTTTTCAGGAGCTGTTTGATGAAGGACGGGGGTACTTGTAAAGCTGTACAAAAATTTAACGGACACTGAGGCACTACTGCTTGGCTTTGACCATAATGTGTCGCATGAACTAGCAAACCCACATGGGCAGAAGAATTATTTTTATTCAGAAGAGAGCTACGGAAAAAATGACCGAATAAGAAAGACTTCACCTCACGCCTATAAATCGAAGATGTGGAAGGAGACCTGCGATTCAGTTTTAGGCATTATATCAAAGACAAAGCTTCACAATGTATATCATTGCATATAGTCTTTGTGCTTATCCTCAAACGATGGATAGAAGAACATAGAAGAGTACCATAAAGGGACATTAAAAAGATGCATTTCACAGAAATGAGTGGGACTACAGAGGGAGAGTGAAATCCCTGCTTGTTAGGGTAGGACAAAACACCCGTGAATTCATTTTAACCCATTTATTTTAAATTACTGGAGGAAAAAAAGACTACTACTACTATATTGACAACAATGAATGATCCCTGAAAGAAAAAAATAGTAAGTTTTGGCATATTTGCGTTATATTCTGTGAAAAAAATTAGAGAATCCTATATATTGGTCACTTGGGAGCTTACATTTTGGAATGTGTTTACGCTATCTAAATGCAATAAACAATATGTAATGGAATGTTTGTGTGATCAAATAAATTTTATAGATTGTCTCGGTATTAAAATTGAGTTACCTATATCCTCTTCAAAATCTACATTCACGCTCCTTGGCCCAAACTGCTTCTGAGACGCACACTGCCTGCACAATTCTACAATTTTTTTTAGAACTTGTATTTTTCAAAAAAAATAATTGCACTCTTGTTCTATTTTACATATTTGTAATGTATACATATACTCTTTTTTTTATTTTCCCGCAATTAAGTACTGCTTTACATTTTATTTATTCACACATACATATAGTTAGAATAATCTAACTGTGTCTCAGTACAAGCCCTCAACCGGGTCCGTAGGACATTGATCATGACGATAGAACATTCTACCTAACATACGTATACACACACTGAAACATCAAAATAATGTTGCTATAATTGTTCATAACATATTCTATTCTATAAGCGTTGCATAAAAGCCTACATAGATTACTTCAAAGTACAGATACAGATACAGAATCTTTTTTTAAAAGATCAAACTGTTGTTTAAAGTGATATATGGCGTATTTTGGACAAGTTCTGACTATCTAAAATAAAAAAGATCTTTCTATTTGTTTTGTTATTTTATCTTAACAGAAGACTTTCCTGTAAATAACACAATTTAAATAAATTGCATTTCAAAGATTTCGCAGAATTTTAAACAATAACTTAATTATTTCCGACTCGGAAATAAATGTCAGACATAGTTTAAAGTAAATTTAAGTAACAGAAACGTGAGAATATTCAAATTCAAGATAGATGAAAATTTTAATTTGAATGTAAATAACAAATATCGTGTAAATCTCGTATTTTTATTTTTTAACTCAGATACGCCATATATAGCTTTAATCAGTCTAGTCGAACCCTCAAACGGGGGTATACCCCCAAACAGGGGTATACCCCTAACAAGGGTTTTCCTTCCCTTAATGCAACGCACGAAATTCAAGAACGATAACTCTTATTTAAAAAATATATATTTTTTTAAAAATCACAAACATGCAAAACTGATTCGTCTACACCTTTGTTTTCAATTAAAAAAAAAAATAAATTACTTTTCATTTTTATTTACCTCATTTCTCGAGCACAAAAGTTTGTTAACAAGACGAGGAAATTCGAACGGGCACAGAAGAAAGTGTCGAAAAATAATAAATAACATGTTCAAAACACAAAATTGTTATACCGGGGAACGGAAATATATGTAGTTTAACTTTAAACAAAACATTGTTTGTTTATTCATCCGTTTTATTAAATTATGCATAAAAATCTAGTTGTATCAAACATGTAGGTCAAGAAACAGAATACGCTAACTTAGGGAGAGAAAAAGTCTTGATTTTTACAATAAACATATACTTTTCCGCAACACAATCTCTTTAAAAATCTTTAATCTATCAAATGTGAGTACATACAGAGTTTTGTAAGTTTTGTAAACAACTATTTTGTCTGTCCTCTGCAACATAAAGTTTCTATGTCACTGATTTCGTCTTCTGTGTATAGGATTAAAAATAATGTTTTCCCCTCATTTCTAATGACTGACTTGACTAAAATATTGGCAGAAGTCACTTAACCGATTTCCGTGTGAACCATGCTGAGGGAGTTCTAGGCCCTCACCAACCCGTCTGCCTATATCCTCCTGTCCGGTGTGCTACCAAGAGCAGAGAACGATTTTCCACGGGCCTGCCGATACCTGCTTTCCTCATGGACTTCAACTATAGAGCCAGCCAGCCTGTCTACAAGACTCCATCAACTGCATAATGCTGGCCACACTACGTTTGTGCAGCATTGGGAGATTGAATGACAACTACTCAGCAAAGATGGGCTTCACCTCAGCCGGTACCATTACCGTCATCCAAACATGGAGAGGGCCATTCAGCACTTAGACGTCTCCCCACCACCAGTAGTCTCACCACCACCAGCATCTCCTCCAAAATAACTATACATGTATAGGACTGCTCTCCTTTCATCACCCACTGCTAAGACACCTACCCTGACCATCAGCAAGGAAGAGGATTGGCCGCTGCTACCCACAGCACAGTCATTATGTTCCATCTTGTCATGTTTTCACCTCCTCCTGTCACTGCATCTCCTCCCTCTCCTCGCTTTACATCTCCCTCTCTTCTTCCTCCTCATTGCTCCACATCTTTTCCTGCCACAGCATCTATGAAACATCCAACTGCAAGCTCCTCCCCTGTTCCAAATCCAACTCCCAGCTCTCCCATCTTCTTCAGGGGAGAGCACCATATCCTCTTAAACTTTTATCCATGTGTTCTACTGTTCCAGGATCTTACATATCAGAGTAAGGAACATTTGTATTAGTACTTAAAAGCTGTCGAGCACTCTGACCCCTATCTGGCAAACCAAATTCAAAACGCTCCGACAGCAAAATAAGAAAACAAAATTTCAAAACTTTTAAATAGCACTTCCCATTCGCATCCAATCAAAAACAAAATCATGCTTAAAGTTTTGACAATTAAATTCCATCAACGTGATGATTAAAAAAAATTCAGCATAAACAAAAGAGTACTTATACATAATGTAACGGATTCATACGGGGCATTAGTTGGAATGGCAAAAGGAAAAATACTCAAGGTTAACTCCTTATGCATTTTAGGAATAAAATGGCCAATGCAACCAGTGCTCCATCAGTAAGTTCCCCAAAAATTCTAGCACCCATCCCAACAGCAGCTTCATCAATTCCTCACCCAGTTCCCGTACCACGTCCTCCAGCAGCTCCGTCAACTATTTCCCCTATGACAATGCCCCATGTACACTTTCAAGGTCCTGCATCAGTTCCGTCAATTCCAGCACCCATCCCAAGTGCAGCTTCATCAATTCCTCTTGCATCAGCTCCGTCAATTACACTCAGTCCTTCAGCAGCTCCCTTAATTACTCTCCACACAGGTTTTAGAACAGCTTCCTCTGTAGAAACTAACATCTCAGGCACCTGTTCCATCTTCTATCTATTCAGAACGAATTGCAGCAATTGGTCAAAACCATGTGTTTGAATTAGGGAATAGTGTAGCAAATGGTTCTGATTTAAAGTGGCCAAATAATAATTGCGTTCAATCTTTAGTGCAGATACATGTACTGCAACAAAAAGCTTTACTTATAGACAATCTATTGGAAGAGCAGTTGAATTTTCTTTTTGTTCATTTATAGTATGGACTTTTACTTCGCTATGAAGACTCCATTTACATATACTAGGCATATCTCCATAATTTTAGCTTTTTTTTTAATTTGAGCTTCAAACGATTTCCTTCTTCTTTCACTTACTTCATCATAAATATTTTTTTTTTCTCATCGAATGCATTATGATTGCCATCAATTTGATGAAGTTTGAACATCTCGAAAGATTCATTGTCCACCACTCAAATGTGGAATGCGATGAAATCGAAAGAAACTCGTACACAACCATACAGATCCATGAAGTGAAATGGCAGGTAAATAACTTATGATTTTTTCCCCTTTTTTAAAAGACTCGATTTTCAAAGTTTTTTTTTAATTCAAAGATTTTCAGAGATTTTTTTTAAACGAATTATTTCAATTAACCCTAATTTTTTAGAACAAACATCACACCACCTGTACCTCAGAGACCTTCAACCATCCTCCCAGAACATTACAATCACAATTGAATTAGTTGCAATCACATTCAGTAATTATTTTATATCATTGAAGTAAAAAAAAATGCTCAATTCGAAATTAATAAACTTTAAAATTTCTCCTCCACGAATAACTAGCATTTTAATTTTTGTATTTCTTTCTTTCGTATATTTAGACAAATCATGAATACAAGGATAATGCATTGGCGTGACAACTCTTTTGTCCCCCTATGTCATAACGTGTTCCATTCAAAGAAAGTGTAAACAATGTAGAAATAGCATCGAGTCCCAATCCTTTACGGGATTTGACGCTGTGATAATCAGGGAGTTTAAAAACAGGTAATTTTTTAAAGTAATTTACTTTTGGGGAAAATTACGTGGACAACGGATGAATGATGAAAACCCAGTCAGGCAACCTCTTCGTTTGTTCCCTGTGTTCAATTTCTTCATATCATGATCTAACATAAATATCATTTCTGAAAAAAAATAACCAGCGCTATAATAATGCAAACTTTTTTCCATGTGGCTTTAATGTTATGCTAGTTTATGAAAATCAATATCACAAAATTTATTTTTTTTTAAGTGAAATTTATATCAGAAGGTTGGGACCCTTTAAACGACAACCAAGAATATCCCAGACTTGCTCAATTGGTGACAGATTTTCCACATTTTCAATTTTCAAATTTACAAACAAATATATTTTGGATGAGAAAAATACAGATTTATTCGAAGAAATATGAACAGAATTCAAGCAATTCAAAACATGAATGCCCTGCATTCTTGCATGTTTTGTAATAAATTGGTGACAAATATACATATTTATCTTTAACACAAGCATAGAAATGAAAAGGAGGTGAAGGAAGCTTGCTCAGCTAGGACATAACCCCTCACCCTCCACTCTCCAAAGGCAAATATGTCACAATAATTGCAGTTTCTAGCATGCATCATTAAGAAAGTTTGTAGGGCCCAAAAAGCACGTTATTTCAGAAATGGATCAGCCTATCAGAAGCGAACAAAAAAAATTGACAGAAAGACTTTGTATTATATATTACCTCCCATTGCTTCTCATCACTTCCGTTACAAGGAGGACCATGGGTGCCTGGTGTTCAACAGGCCCTTTAGGACATGTGACACAGTAAAGGTATGTATATTAGACAGGCAAGGCATTGAAATGAATATGAATATGTACTTCGAAGATGGCTAAATCATTGTTTTGTCCTCAAAACAGCAATGATTGTTTCATTGTATGATTCACTGATAAAATGATACAGCTCATTACTTGTTTGCATTTTATTAAGTCCTAGCCAAATACAAGAGAGTAGCAGAATTAGATTTTCATAACCTTAACAGTCGTGTCAATTTTTTTCTTGAAAAATCAATTTTAGTAGCCATAAAAGAAATATATAATGTCAGTTTTTTTGTAGGATAGATTTCGAAAGGTAGGAGTATTATCAGGGAAAACTGACAGCAAAAAGTAAAAAAAATGTTTTTCCAGTAAAAGTGTTGGAGGGTAAATCCTGCATCCCCTCCTACCACCCTCACCTAAAATCTTTATTCGCTTATGTTTTGTCCACATGAAAATAAAAATCATAGTCGTTTAAATAGCTTTCTAATACAATTTATATAAATTTGGAATTCCCAAATCTATTTTTAGATCAATGTAGAGGAAGTAAATTCTTGTATTGACCTGGAACGTTACGTACAGGTCAATACAACGTAATTTTTTCCTAACATAGTTGGATCTCAGCCAATCAGAGAGATGGTAATTATTAAATCATATAATAATATAAATTGATTCACTCAGAGTCACTCAAAGTCTCCCGTAAGTAAATTTCTTCTTGTCCTGCCACTACGATTGTACTGCCTCTTATATTTATCTAAATTTTGCTTGTCAACAAAGGACAAGATAGGGTAAAACCCCCTTTTCGCCCCTGATTTTGGGTGTCTTTCAGAATGATACAACAGTTTATCCATAAAAACCTGTTGTCACCCCTGCCACAAAATGAGTACTGGTTTTAAGATTAAGAATGCACAGAGGTCGCAGTGAGGTCAGGAAATAGGTCAATTTTCGAAATTTCTCATTTTTTTGCGAATTTTCACTAATTTTACAGCACATTTTCTTTCGGAAAACATAAGAGAGCACACGCTTGTCTATCTACCAAATTTATATATTTTATACTCTGATATCAGATGCAGTATATATGTAAAAATCTCAGATAGGCAAGCGTGTGCTCTATGTTTTTCGAAGAGAAATGCACCCAAAATATGATGAAAATCCACCAGAATTGAGGAAATTCGGGAAAATGTCCTATTTCTGAACCCTTTAGCGGCTTCCATGTAGCCTTTGAATCAAAATTAGTGCTTGTCTTAAAGTAAGCATCATTTTAACTTCTTAACTACAAACTATCACAGTTTTTTCAGTGTTCTGATTTTTATATAAAAAAATCGGCTGTTACCCTATCTTGTCCTTTGTGCATGTCTGGTTTAGATTTTTATTTTACTTGGGTGAACCCTTCTACCCAATAAAAAAAAGATTTTAACTGGATCCGTGCCTGTCCGACTTGTTTTTTTTTTTTTTTTTTTTTTTTTTTGTCAGTCTAATATTTTGTGCAATTATCCAGCATTACATGTTAACCGCGATGACAGTATACACGATCTATGTACAAGATTATGCATCATGTTTTTACAATGCGTATTCGAAACAGTAAGCGTATGTTCTATCTAATAATGCGATCATTTTTTGTTCGACTAATTTGACATCTCTTCGGGTAAACAGAGGAGCACATGTGTATCCAGAGACTATCTAAAAAGGGAAGATTAACGAATTAATGCGGTAAGTTTGAGGATTTTAAATGAATTTATGAATGCAACTTGCATTTTTTAATTTGGAAAGTTGAATTAGTCACAGATGTATGACGAACAAAGTTATGTCTTATAATCTGATAATTTATATGAATATCTCGGGAAAGAAAAACATGCCTTTGGATCTACTAATTTCTTCAAATTGATCAAAGGTAATTAGGTGATCATATTGGATTTAAACAATGTATACACAATTTCTTGGTTGTTTTATTGAAAAATCCTTTCATCTTTTTGCTGTAATGAATTAATAGAAATTCATTTATTTTTGGGGTTTTATATTTCATGTTTTTTTAGAAGTCATGATGAGCATATACAATACAACGGAAAAACAGGTTGTGGAAGCTTTGGAAAATTATCTCAAATGGGCCCCGGAGAAAGGATTGTGGCCGTAGAAAATGACATTATGCCGACTCTTAATGATGGAACTTTCATTTATACATGTAGCTTATCTGAGCCCATGGGCCTCTTCTTAATGATAAAATAAATATTTCATGAAGATTTTGATAACAGATTAGATTAAACCAATTTAAATGTATGTTTGGGCTTTCTTTTATCCTTACATGGTACATATACAATATTATCAATAATTCCATATTATTACTATATGACACCCCCCCCCCCATTTCCAAAATAATTAATTGAATAAATGTTGAATCAACTGTTTTCAACATAAATCAACGTTGATTATCAATGTTGATTCAATGTTAACAATTCAACGTTGATACAAATTTTCAAAATCTAACATAAAATCAATATTGAATCAACATAGGAAACAACGTTGATTCAAAGTTTATTCAATTTTGTGTGCCCTTTTTTCAACATTTAATCAACGTTGATTATCAATGTTGATTCAATATTCTGACTAACGTTGATACAAATTTTCAAAATCTAACATAAAATCAATATTGAATCAACATAGGAAACAACGTTGATTCAAAGTTTATTCAATTTTGTGTGCCCTTTTTTCAACATTTAATCAACGTTGATTATCAATGTTGATTCAATATTCTGACTTCAACGTTGATACAAATTTTCAAAATCTAACATAAAATCAATGTTGAATCAACATAGAAGAACAACGTTGACTCAAAGTTTATTCAATGTTGTGTGCCTGCTGGGTTAAGCCGGTTTAATTCAACAGTAAAGTTCTGGCGATTTATAGTTTGACAGTTCTCTTAATTCTCTCCGCTTTTCTTTCTATCTTCTCTTTATCTTTGATAATATTGGTTTACGATGTTCTCTTTATCTTTATTACTCGTCGATTGAATCTTCGATTGATAAAATATTGATCCACTACAAACTACTTAAACTTTTATCAATCGTAACTAAACTTAACTAGAACTGTCCAATAGGGACAAATACCCCCCGCTGGGTTTTTCAGAGAAGGTGCCAATTCAAAAATACTTTATGGATCTAGAGATGTTCACAATTTACTTTAAAAAAATTTGCAGTGAAATATAATTGCTCATCATGTTTTTAATGAATGAAACGGGGGTGCAACCAAA